AATTACGTAATCGTTCAAAGCGGCAATTAATCGTTCAAAGTCCACTTATGTTATTCTGCACGCTTGTGTCCACTTATGTTATCTTAAGGGTTTTTCCATTGTTTTAGTTTTAGTATAACATTATAATACCATTCATATTTTTACTTTTTTTATAATTTAAAGAAGAAACCAATCCGATGTATATTTGACATTTGAGGCTTAATACTACAGAAAAGCACTAAAAGTTTTTCAGTTAGAGTGTTTTCAGCTTGTTTATTTTCATATAAAAATATGGCATGCAGTTGCATCAAACAATGGTATAAACATCATTCAATGTAAATTGTGATAATCGTAATTAATAATCGCAATTACAATTTAAAGGGAATAATCGACAATTATGATTTTTGTCATAATCGTGCAGCCCTAACACACATAGTTATGTGTAAGTGTGTGTGAGCAGGAGTGTGTATAAATAACCTTCCTCCTCATCTGTTCAGAGCAGACAGTGTTGTCCCCTCCGTCCCCAGATGAGGGTCATCTGCTAAGTACTTAAGAGGATTTGAGCGGGTTGATTACTCCCTCTGGGCCCACAGACTCATTTCTGCTCTGATATTAGCCCAAGATTTGCTTGATGAACTGGGTGTTAGCTTTGATTTGCAAGTCAAAAAACGTTAACCAACTGCCATTCCATTTGCAATTTAAAATGTTAGTCCTATGCTTTTTAAACAGTGTTAGTGTCATTTTCAAATCAGTTTCAGTTTTTAAAATTACTTCGGTATGCAATAAAGGATTCACAGCTCAGCATGTCAACAGCTCATGTTCACTTTAATTACATGCTGAATTATTACTGTACATTTCTGCAGAAATCTGGATTATGGCTCTAGATGATTGCTAGAGCCTAGAAACATTTATGTTTTTGGATTGAAGGGGTGTTGTACTGTTAGTCAACATATGTGTGTGTCTTTGAATACATCACAATGCCAATCACTATCTCTCACACTCACACACTACATTTATCAACAGTGTGTTTCAATTGACAACTGCAATTGTAATTCGGGCCCTCCACTGGGCATTTACTCTTATCACCCTAATGCAGACTAAGACGAATCAGACTGTGTTTTGCGTGCGTGCGTGCGTGCGTGTGTGTATGTGTGTGTGTGTGTGTGTGCGTGTGTGCGCGTGCGTAGACACTTTTTATATATGCACGTTTTTGTTTTTGTCCATATGCGTATCTGTTATCATGCAAACTATGAGTCAAGCATTTTGACCCATATTCTAATTAGTATATATTTTCCAGGTTTAAGAATAATAGTTAAGATACCAAAACTATGAAATAACACAAATTGCAGTGGGAATAATGTAATGACCAAAAGATAGTTAAAGGGTTAGCTCACCCAAACATGAAAATTCTGTCATTAATTACTTGCCCTCATGTCATTCCAAACCTGTAAGACCTTAGTTCATCTTCAGAAAGGTAGTAAGGACATCCTTAAAATAGTCCATGTGACATCAGTGGTTCAACCATAATTTTATGAAGCTACGAGAATACTTTTTGTGTGCAAAGAAAACAAAAATAATGACTTTTTCGACAATTTCTTCTCTTCCGGGTCAGACTTTGATGAAGAAATTGTTGAATGAAGTCGTTATTTTTTATTTATTTGCGTGTCAGTTGCATTGCTGTCTATGCAGGGTCAGAAAGCTCTCGGATTTCATAAAAAATATCTTAATTTGTGTTCAGAAGATGAACAAAGGTCTTACAGGTTTGAAACGACATGAGGGGGAGTAATTAATGACAGAATTTTCATTTTGGGGTGAACTAACCCTTTAACAAAAATCAAAAATATCTTATTTCTTTTAGCCTCAATAACAATTCTGCACACCTTGGACTTCTCTTCAACTTTGTGAGGTGCATCCTTGGAGGTTTTTAAGATTTCATGTATGCTGGGTACATGAATGTATGATTTCATGTATTAAGTACTGGTATTTAATATTTATTAAATATATGAATAAATTTTAGTGTTGTTAGGACATTGAAATGTATGGAAAAGAACAGGATCATGCTAAACATCAATTCAGTAAATCTCATGACTGGTAGTTTGAATGTCTGCATGTTTCTGTAAATGTGAGAAGCTTCGTTAAGGTTTTGCATTCCTTTCACTGTGTCTTTCTATCTGTATTTCTCTAGAATCAGGCTGAGGCTCATTATAAAGGCCATAAACATGCTCGTAAGCTGAAGGCATTAGAGGCTCAGAAGAACAAACAGCAGAGACGACAACTCGACAATTCGCATCACAACCGAGACAGAGAGAAGGACCGAGACAGGGACAGGGAGAGAGACAGCAGCAGAGTGAAAACGAGCGCTCTGGATCCACTTCCTGCCCTGCTGGATGACACCGCCATGGAGGAAAGTAAGTGAACTCACAGACGATTCGCTGCGTGAGTGGGCGTTTTTGTTACTGCTTGAAACATGCCCTGATGTGATTACAATTTGTTACAGGCAACATAAAGCACATTTGCAACATATTTAAAGGGGGGGTACAATGCTGTTTCATGCATTCAGAGTTGTTTACACTGTTAAAGAGTTGGATTCTCATGCTAAGCATGGACAAAGTTTCAAAAAATAATTTGGACGTATGACAGAGTATTTCTGTGCCAAAAATCTTACCCAGCGTTATGTAGACAGTGGATACAGTTTGTTTTTCCGGGGCAGCAGGAGTTTCACAAGTGTGTTTGTTGACGAACGTTTTATAAACAAGGCCCAGTTCGACGCTGGATTTGCACATCGTTTGATACTGAAAGATGGAGCGGTCCCAGCTATAAAAGATCCCGGTCATGATTCAGAACTCTCACTCTTTAGCTCCGCCCACGGCGCGCCTCCAGGATCTCGGCTTTCTAGGTTCTCAAGATTAACATGAGATTGGGTGAAACTGTGTGTGTTATGCCCCCTTTAACTTCTGTAATCTGACATCTCAGAGTGTGTCAAGAATGTTCAGCTCATTGTAACATGGGACAATGATAGACTGAAGTCTGCGCATTATGCAAATTTTATAATGGCTATGAGCATGCAGGCATAATTTATATATATATATATATATATATATATATATATATATCTCACCAAGGTTGCATTTATTTGATTAAAAATACAGTAAAACGGTAGTATTGTGAAATATTATCACAATTTAAAAAAAAAAAGATAATTATATTTTAAAAAATCTAATTACAAATTTGTAAAATTAATTTGTTCCTGTGATGGTAAAGATGCAGCCATTACTCCAGTCTTCAGTGTCACATGATCCTTCAGAAATCATTCTAATATGATGATTTGGTGTTCGATTATTAATAATGGTTCTTCTTCTTATTTTTTTTATTTTTGTGGAAATCATAATACATTTTTTCAGAATTCCTTGATGAATGGAAAGTTAAAAAGAACAGCATTTATTTGATATAGAAATCTGGGTAACACTTTAGTTTTGGGACCAAGTTGCTTATTAACATGCACATTTATTTGCATATTGGCTGTTTATTAGTACTCATAAAGCACTTATTCTGCATGCCCATGTTTTAGATCTCTTAATCCTACCCAATACCTAAACTTAACAACTACCTTACTAACTATTAATAAGTTTATTGGGGCAAAAGTCATTTGGTAATAGTTAATAGTGATAATTGGTCCCCAAACTAAAGAGTGACCGAAATCTTTTGTAACATTACACATTAAACATTAATTATTTTACTGTCACTTTTGATCTGTTTAATATGCCCATGCTAAATAAATGTCTTAATTTTTTTTATTTTATTTATTTTTTTTTTTATCATACTTACCCCAAACTTTTGAATGGTTGTGTATTATGCTTTCCCCAAACATTATAAGCAGCAAAAACTGTTTGCAACATTGATCATAATTAGAAATGTTTCTTGAGCAGCAAATCAGCATATTAGAATGATTTCTGACGGATCATGTGACACTGAAGACTGGAGTAATGAAGCTGAATATTCAGCTTTGATCACAGGAATAAATTACATTTTAAAATATATTAAAACAAAAAGACAGTTATTTGAAATTGTAATAATATTTCACAATATTTTTTACTGTTTTTACTTCTTATTGTAAATTACTCTACTGTTTAACAATCTTTAAAAAAGCAACTTGATAACATTAAATGCAAAGAGAGAAAATCTGGGCCAGATAGACAAGTGTTAGTTTGTGACTCCCTCAAGAATGTCTGGAGAAAACAAAGACAACTTTTTATTTTAATATGCATTTTGGATGAATCATGCATTTAGCTTGTCTGTAGTTCCTTCGCTGCTGTGAATATCCTCCAGTCCTGCTCTTCATGATCTGTCCTGTATATTAAGGGGATTTCATTTCTGACTGAAGGACTTGACTTTCCTCTTGTTACGGGGAAGTACTGTGACACAGAGAGCAGAACAACAAGCCGACAGAGCGCTTTGAGCCATCCCTCTCCAATAATCTCTACCTTTTCATCCCTTTTAAACTCTTTATTTTTTCTCCTCTGCCCAACCTCTATAGAATATGATTTGAAAGGCAGCCCGAATATGGGCCCAAGGGATACGATAAAGGAAAAAAAGGAGGGAGTCAGAAACTTCACATCCTTCTGCTACAAGACCTTGAGAATGAAAGAAAAAACAAGCGAAAAAGAGAGGGAGCAAATTAAAAGTGGGTGGATAGGGCAAAAAGATAGAAAGCAAGAACAGCAAGCTCATCAAATCACATTTTAATATTCGGCCCCATTCATGGCAACACAACGGTGAGAGGGAGCGTACAATCAGAAGGGAAAAAAAGGAGAGATTAGATAAGAGAGAACAGAGAGAGCTGGAGAGAGTTTAAAAGAGCTACAGAGATGGAGAATGAGAAGATTAGCTATTGCAATTTTGTCTCAAAGCCTTTGTGTTTGGATTAGCTCTCATGCACATGCCAATGCATTCTTCATACTAACTATTTGCAAAAATACATATTTTCAAAATGAACTTACTGGTGGCTTGCCAGAACGTCTAATCGGTCTTATAAGGAAGATATTTGAGTTCACCTGACCCCAGTCTGAGCAGTTTTTAGGGTGTATTTATTTAAGTCACATTGTTGTGTTGAAAAACTGCTAGTAGCATTGCTGGAACTTTTTTTTTTTTTTTTTAAGTTGGACTAGTGTTAACTTGACACTGCGTCAAATGCATCTGGAGGGACCGTGTTAGCATGCTAGTTAACCCTTTGATTTCATATGTATTGCATTTGACTTTCATATGGCTTTCTAAGGCTTCTACATCATTAACAGTACTTTTTTCTTTTTGTATATAATTTACTATATATCTTCTGCCCCCTGGTGGATTAGCTATGCTCTTGAGGAATTAGAAGAACTTTCAAATGTGAAATCTTTGCTTATTTTGATAAAGTAACAGCAAGAATAACTTAAATATTGGCAATAATGATTCATAATGAATATTTACTGGATTTAAGCAACAATATTTCATACATTATAAAAAAGGTGTCAATCCAACGATACCACTTAAGGTAGGTCTATATTTATTTCAGTCATTATTGTAGTGCATTTCATGATTATGTGCCCCATCAAATGATTATATATTTTATGTATATGCGTGTGTATGTATATATGTATTTTGTTATATATATTTGACAACATTATTTAAACATTTGTAATGTATATAAAAAAGATAATGTTTTGTAGCAAACGATATATGATAATATTTTACTAAGATGTATTTAGATTGAAAACGTACATTTATTTGTATCTTTCTATGTGATTTTTATTTTATTTAACATTTTGTAACAAACATTTCAACAAAAATATTTACATTTATTTATTTATACATTTGTTATATATATTGTACATATTTACTGTATATATTTAACATTTAATTTAAATTTATACATTTATAAAAAATTAGGGATGCACCGATACCACTTTTTCCAGTACTCGCCCGATACCGATACTTTTATTTTTGGTACTTGCCGATACCGAGTACCAATACCGATATTTTTATTGCATTTGTACATTTTTTAAATATTGGGTACAGAAACCAAAAGGGTATGTATAATGTTAGTTGGTTAACTTCATTTATCAAATAGATACAGTCAAACCAAAATTTATTCTTTTATTTCTCACATTATCACAGTTTATTCGTTATAGTTTAGAAAATGGTAATAAAATATGACAAGAATTTTGAGTTAAACAGAGTCAGAACAAATTCATCTTGATAATGTTAGATAATTTTGATAGAAAGGTATGTAATAGATTACAATCAACCGAAAATTATTCAGACAGCTGTTAGTATGACAGTATTTACACAACTATGAATACTTAGTCGGGCAACCCTTAGCCTCAATGACAGCCTGTAGTCTCCTGGGCATGCTGTAAACCAGCTTCATGCAAACTTGAACTTCAATGTTTTTTCCCAGACTCGATCTGAATAATTTTTGGACTCAAATTTGTATCAGTTTTACTGGTAGTCCACTGTATCGGTGCATCCCTATAAAAAATATATTACAGTACATAGTACTGTATTATATACTTTGTGTGTGTGTGTGTGTGTGTGTGTGTGTGTGTGTGTGCGTGTGTGTTGAATTTTTTATTAAGAAAAAATTTAAACTAGTCATCAACATCACTTGACTAGTGACCCATCCCTGCTTCAACATACGTGCATTCAGTGCATCAATCAGTTACAATGTGGTATTTTGGTCACTGATGGGTTAACACTCTCATTTAACAGATAACACACTCACACAGGGGAACCCAGTGTCGTCTCACACATGTTCACGCACACAAGAGCTAATCACTCAGTGGATTTTGAAATGCTCTTATGCTAATGCACACACACACAGACACACAAATTGAGCTGATTGCCTGATGAAATTAGCACTGTTCTGTCATTAAGCTCACAGCTGCAGGGGCCAATCACAACTCTACAAGCATGTCAGCTGTTATTAACAGCCATAAGACGCTGGAAATGGAAAGGAAGGATGGGAGGGGGGTTCTAGAAATTTCTAGAGTAAGGGGTCCATTTTATAACAGCTATTGAAACACTTTGAATGCTCTTGCTGTCAGATGTCACTGATCGTTTTCATCATGAGCTTGCTGATGTAGTATGAACAAGTGCAGTATTTTACATTTGCTGATATATATATATATATATATATATATTTTTTACAAAGAGAGAGTTAAATATAGTCATCATGCTCTATCCTGTTCTCTTCGCTATCCGTCACTCCATTCTTCCACATCCGTCCCCGCATGTTTCACATTGCTTGTCTTTGCGAAGAGTGAGCTGTCCAAAACAGAAAGATTTAAAAAAAGAGTATATATTAGTCTTTAAAGATCGGTTGTACAAGCTTGCTGCAAGACACATACACACTCCACAGGGAGATGGGCACCGAGTGTTACCCAAGGCAATTCTCTCCATTTCATTAACTTTCACACATTTTTCAGGTGTGAAGGCAAACATCCCACCCACACACACACACAGTCACACACAACCTTCCTTTTCCATTTCCTGTTCTATTTTCCTTAAACTCTTCCTCTATACCCCCTCAGGAACCCCATTTTAGGGGAACTGGTATAACCTAAATCTCAGTGAGGCACAGAAGGGTCAGTCTATCTGATTCCCCAGAGGGGGGAATTCAGCAGATCTGTGCAGATATCAAAAACGGCCACATGGGTCGCTCCTCACAAACATGTTCACTAAATAAACACTTTCACATGTTTAAATCCTGTGTTACTCAGCAAAAGCACTCCTACAGTGATTGTAAAAGTCATTTCGGCACTCTCTAATGGGTTACTAATTTACAAACACCTATTACATGCCACTTAGGAGGGAGTCCTGCTAGGAGAGGTGTTGATTTTATGACAAAGCTTTTACACAGACTTAATTAGCATCTGGAATGACTATAGTGCATATGCTGAAGACATTGATAATTTGTTATTAATTGTCATTTTGTAGTGTTGTTCTTGACTGGTTTTGCTTCAGTATCCCGTATTTAACATTCAACATCAAGTTTTCATAAAAAGTATACCTAAATATACATTCATTTATTATTATTATTATTATTATCACACACAACTTTTTGAAAAACGTTTAATATAATTTTAGTGTTTGGCTTTTAAATGTCTTTTGAATTTCAATGGTTTATGCTATCGGCAGCCAATAATTCACAACACAAAACACACTGTTGTCACCACAAACCATGTTTTTCCTCATTTCAGCCTGTATTTAATGTAGTCTGGGTTGTATTTTCTTTTGCCTTGTTCATGTTTTTGAAGAAGGAAAGCATTTCAGCCTGTCCATGTTGTCCTTTGTCTAACTGGCTATTTGCATTTATACATTTGGTAGATGCTTTTATCCAAAGCACTTCACATTGCTTTCAGGATTTAAATTTTTTTCAGTTAATGCATTCCTGGACATTCCATGCCAGAACATATGATGAATTTTCACTGTTTTAAGTTTTTAAGACAATTTGTAAAGAGGACAGTTTGTGTGAATGTGAAATGTGAGTGTGATTCATAGATTAAACAGAACCATATTTAAAGCTGAATAACATCCTGTGAGGCCAAAGGTGAACAGCCATCAATGGTTCTTCAAATGTGGGTCGAAATTGAGCCAAAATTCCATCTTTAGGTTTCTATTAAACAGTTTTATGTTTGTTTAGATGATCATAAACATGGTATTGATGGTTTTGTGTGCTCAGAGAAATTTTGAGAGCACCTCATTTGATTTTTCACTGCCCAGGCTGCTGTGGCCCTTATCTTCTTTTTTAACAAATACAAGGACACAGCACTTGAGTTTCAAAGGTGGACTTAAATAAATGGTCTGAAGTTCAACACATGAGCACTAGTCTGTAAAAGCACAGCCTTAATACTGTCCCAGGTGAAAAAGACATAGTATTAAATGTATTAAAAATATACTTGAAATTCAAGTAGTATGTTTATAATACATTTGTATTCCCAACATGCTTATTTGAAGTGCAATAAAAATATTGTTTTGTTTTTCACCAAAGTATATATGCTGCTGTCCTTTTTTAGTGTACTTTATGAATATTTGTAATGTACACAACAATATATAATACATTAAAGTTTTCTAGATATCAAAGTGTGTACGTGTGTGTATATACTGAAAAAAGCAGCTTTATAATGTACTAGTAGTGTAATGCTAATGCATTTCCAATGAGCTGAAATACAATTGAAATGTACTTGAAGTACATTAAAACGATGCTTCAAATATACTCTAACTGTAGTTCATGAAGTATTAAAAGGACATTTTAAATGTATTTTAAGAAATAAACTTAATTTGCACTAAATATACTTAAAGTGGTTCCATTTTAACACAATTTCAATATATTAAATATATTACAAATAGATTAAAATCCAACTTAAACATATCTTGAAATACACTTAATATACTTAAAGTTGTTTCAAAATAATACATTTAATATGCACTTAGTATAGTATAATTTAAATATAGTAAGTATGTCTGAAAAAGCACAATTTAAATATATTTCCTTTTCACCTGGGGTTGCATGACCGAAAACAGTCAGTCTGAAAGTGTCTGTATTTGTGTTTGTGTTCCTGTGTGCTGCACATTTCTGCCAATTTGGATACTAGCCCACAGCTAAATTACAGCTAACAGACTTTCAGATGTTTGAGCGGAATATTTTTATGCTGAATACTGGTGCTCTACTGCTGGATTTCCGCCTTCACTTACTGATTGTTATACTGTTTTTCAGCTAACAAGTAAAATAAGACATACACACAAGTAGTTTACAGATATCTTCCAGATGGTCTATTGTTCTTTGTGTCTGCCTTTTTGTGACATATTTCAAATCATGGCGGTCTAAAATACCTGGAAAGAGCTATTGGTTAGTATTCCCGTTCATTTCAATGGTAGTCACTCGGTTGCTCTGGATCCCCCTGAAGTAACTGATTTGAAATCTGCTGTTCTGAAACTTGTCAGGACATTTTTCATGTTGATTCATGATTCGCAGGCTTTTTAAAGGGATTAAAGGCATAGTTCTCCCAAAAATTATGTACACTATGATGTACACTATTTTCCATGTCACCTAAAACCATATGACCAAAATTTATTTCACTATCCATTGAAAAATATTCAAATCTTGGTCCATTAGAGGTCATGATAAAGTTTTGATGTATTGAAGTAACAAAGGTTTGAAATGACATGAGTGAGAGTAACTATGCTTTGAATAAAAACTCAAACACTTAAACTCAAATATCCAGAAACACATAGTTTTGTATAATTGATGTGAAGGAGAACAGCAGTCTGACTCACTCACTTTTTCTCTCTCTCTTTAGCTGCTGTCTGTGACTCAGATCCTGTCGTGAGTGTGGATGATGCTCACTCTAGTTCGGTGGTCCTGACACCTATATCAGAGGTCTCGTCTGCAGATCTGTCTGTCTCCTCCCCTCACTTCCAGAACCCGGACGGTCTGCTGGAACCCACCGCCAGCAAGACAGCTGCTCAGCAGGACAACTCTACAGGGGACACACCGGCAGAGAAGGACCCCAAAAAGACCAAACAACATCTGCATTGCCCCATCTGCAAAGTCACAGTCAACTCCACCACTCAGATGGATGCTCACAATAGTGGTGCATATGTCTTTCTTTCTTTATTGATTTCTCTATTTATTTATTTATTTATTTACTCTACCATTCAAAGGTCTGAGTTCAGTAAGATTTTTTTTTTAATGAAATTAATCAAAAGTGTCATGACATAATAATGTTACAAAAGATTTATATTTCAAGTAATTGCTGTCCTTTTAAATTCATCAAAGAATCCTGAAAAATATATTACTGTTTCCAAAAATATTAAGTAGCACAACTGTTTTCAACATTGATAATAATAAGAAATGCTGAGCAGAAAATTAAAGGGGTCATATGATGCGATTTCAATTTTTCCTTTCTCTTTGAAGTGTTACAAGCTCTTGGTGCATAAAGAAGATCTGTAAAGTTGCAAAGACTAAAGTCTCAAATCCAAAGAGATATTCTTTATAAAAGTTCAGAGTCAGCCACACCTACCTAAAACGGCTCGTTCTAACACGCCCCCACATATCTACCTCACTATGTGGGAAGATTTGCATAACGCCGCCCAAATGTTCACGCAAAGAAAGAAGGCGTAACTTTTAGTCTCACTGTAGTATTGTTGCCGCGCGTAAAAAGACCGTATAAGTCATTATAATCAGTAATTATGTCCCCACTGGATGCAACAAATGCCTAGTTTGTAATGGGTTTTATGTTTATGTCTCGTCGCTCCTGCCGGGACACGGCATCACAGTATGTGAGGGGCGTAACATTTCCGTCACACGCTTGAGGTATTCGGCCAATCACAACGCACTAGATAGCTGGCCAATCACAGCACACCTCGCTTTTTCAGACCGATGAGCTTTGTAAAAATCGACGCGTTTCAAAAAGGCGGGGCATAGAGGAGAAACAATAATGTACAGTATGTGGAAAATAATGTGTTTTTTTAACTTTAAAACGCATAAACACATTTCATTACACCAAATACACAAAATAATGTTCTTTTTAGCAGCATCATATGACCCCTTTAATACATATTAGAATGATTTCTGTAAGAAATTCAGCTTTACATCACAGAAAAAAAAATTACATTTTAAAATATATTAAAATAGAAAACAGCTGTTTGAAGTTGTAATAATATTTCAGAATATTACAGTTTTAATATTATTTTTGATCAAATAAATGCATAAGAGGCTTCTTTCAAAAACATTAAATTCTTACTGACCGTAAACTTTTGAATGGTAGTGTATTTGTATTTATTTTGGTTTGTAAACTCATGAATCAACCCCATAAATGAATGTGAATAATCTGAGAATAATCTAACAAACCCTTTTCAATTTACAGCATTAATATTTCATCAACTCCATAATAAACAATAATTTCAATATAATCTGAGAAAATTTGTTTTAATAAATAATATTGTAACAATAGACACAATTTTAGACCATTATTGCATACTTATTTAACACCTTTGTTCCCCCTCCCCCCCCTTATTCAATTCCATCACACAAAGGCATGAGGAACACCTTTGTTTTTAACATTTACATAAATGTAGTAGATGTTTTACACATTTTCGTTTTCAAGATAATTCCATAAATTCACCCTTATAAATGTAGTTTATTTCTGCATAAATAAGTAACCTTCGTCATGTGAATTCCTTACCTTTTCGAACGTCACAGGCACCAAACATAAACTAATGATGGAAGGACAGAGTGTGTTGCCACGACGACGAGGGAAGACACTGTCGTCCCGCCCCTCATGTAAAAGCAAGCGATTGGCCAGTAAGGGGAGTGTGGGCGTGGCCAGCAAGAGCTTCAGCTGTGACGTTTGCGAGATCCATGTTAACTCTGAGACTCAACTCAGCCAGGTAACCATAAAACAATTTTGCACACATGCATGTGATACACTGGAATATCGAAAAAATATGTTTTAAGTAACATTATTTGACGTTCAGAGCCCATCTTTGGGTCCTAATATGCCATTTTAGGCTAAAATTAAAATCCAGCCTTGTTCACATTTCCGGTGTTCTCTCTGTATACGTAACCTAGCCTAACTAGCTGTGTTTTTAGTAGCAGGTAGCTACATTGCAGGCTTGTTATTTTATCCTGTCAGGAATGACCTTCTAGAAATTGACAATCCACTGACAAAACAGCTGCTGGAAATCAGCTACACCAGGGCTGTCCAAACTCGGTCCTGGAGGGCTGGTGTCCTGCAGAGTTTAGCTCCAACCCTAATTAAACACACCTGAACCAGCTAATCAAGCTCTTTACTAGGCATAGAAACTTCCAGTCAGGTGTGTTGAGGCAAGTTGGAGCTAAACTCTGCAGGACACCAGCCCTCCAGGACCGAGTTTGGACAGCCCTGAGCTACACCATTGACAGACACATAGTTTATTTTGTTGGCATTGGCAGTTTGTCTAACTGTTTCTCAGAGGAAACATCTACTTCTTGGCCAAGTTTGTTACCTGGTATAGTTGTGTTGGGAAAAGCATGTTTTCCCACATAAACAAATGAAATGTAAAAATGTATAAACTCTTGCTCTGCGAGTTACTCAAACGGAGTAAACATTTACATTTGGATTTCTGGGTTGAGTTTTCGATGTACCAGGAACATGCTAATCAGTCCGAGATGAGTCATTTGACCATATCTAATGTGTGTTTCCAGTGCATATTGACTGGGTGAAGGTGAATTGTTGATACCCCCGTCTGTGCTGGTTACTTGTTAATGTGACTCAACAAATTTGTCATGCTGACATTGGAGCTATGCTGAAAATCTCCTGGCATTCAATTTATTTACACATCAACTTTGTTCATGGATCATGACCACAGTGAATTTCTCATCATTCATGACCATTCTTATGTAAATTGTTGCATTTAATTGAGTGCAGCAATTTACATAAAATGCTTTTATAAACTTTACACTTTTTTCTGTTTCTGTTTCATGAATGAGTGTGTGTGTGTGTGTGTGTGTGTGTGTGTGTGCATGTTTATGTGGTTTATGAGGACACAAATTTGTATAACATGGGTATGACATAGGTATTACAACGAGAAGGTGATTTATGAGGACATTTTCAGTGTCCCTGTAGTTTAGGGGTAGGGTAGGTGTAGGGCAATAGAAAATACGGTTTGAACAGTATAAAAACCATTACGCCTAAAGAGAGTCCCATGTGTGTTGGCCTGGTGTCTGCACAGGCCTGAGGAACATGACATTTAATGGTATTTCATGCTTCCCTTAAGCTGTTTCTGAAGTGTAAAGTAAACAAGATGAAGGCTGTTGAAAAAGAAAGAGGGGAGGGAAAGAGGTGAAAGGTATTAAAAAGTTAAAGATTTTTAGGAAAAAGGAAAAACTGCTCTTATTTTATCTTGACCAAGTATCTCATGTCAGGCTTGAAAATGCACCATTAAAAATACACCTTTATTTCTGTATTTGTTTAGCACATGAACAGCCGAAGGCATAAGGATAGACTGGCTGGGAAGCCCCCGAAGCCCAAGTTCAACCCTCATGCCAAGAGTCAGCCTACCTCAGCAGCCTCGGTGAGCATGGTTACACTCACTGTGATTTACATGCTAATAGTCGAGTGTTCCTGTAGCTCAAACAGTAGGATAGCATGGCGCTAGCAACGTCAAAGTCATGAGTTCAATTCCCATAGAATTCATGAACTGCTGAAATGTCCCTTTGGATAGAAGAACCTGCCAAATATATGTGTGTAAATGTAATAGTCATATTCAGCTGATCAATACAGAGTACTGAGTTTTTAAAAAATCTAATATGGATTGTATCATGCTGATGTAGTACAAATGCATATTAAAACCCAGAGTTCATTTTAAACAATGGGACTGATGATGATTGAGAGGACAATATAATAAAGCAAACCTCTTCTCAGCATGAAAGGAAAAAGGGAGAGGAAGTTACTCAGGGTAGGATGCTAGCAAACAGGCTCATCATGATACAAGGAGTAATTTTGCGTAATTAAGACATTTTTTATGTCTGCTACACACACACGACTATAGCAGCTCTCCTGATCTGTTCCAGCAGGGTGTCAGATGGAACGGTTATGCGGGAGGCGCACTGTCTGTAATGAAGAAAGTTATCAACCAATGCAATCTGTCCACTCTGTCCACACAGGTGAGTGACAGAACTTAAACCTCATTAACAGCCTCTTAAAGGTGTAGTGTATAATTTATGCACCATATCACCACATTAGATTAACCAATGGCATGACTATATATTTCAAAATTAAAGAAAAGGGGAATTTAAAACTCAATTAATTAGATTTAATATACAGTTTCTGTTAATAGAAATAGTTTTGTTATAGTTACAGAAGAAATACAGAAAATATTTTAGCCTATATGGAGGGATCTTGTATAACAGGTGGCCTTATAGTCAAAAAGGCTGAGAATCACTGAGCTACATTGTACAAAAAAAAAATTACTGAAGTTTGAAATATAGATTATTCAATTATTATTATTATTATTATTTTTTTTTACAAGAACATATTTCAGGTTTTACTAGCAATTTCTGAGTGGAAATTGTTTCACCACCAAATTGTCAAAAATATCTTTGTGATATCTTAATTTTTGGCATAATGATTAATTCTCTCTCTTTCTCTCTCTCTCTCTCTCTCTCCCTCTCTCTCTCTCTCTCAGACTAAACTGATTCTACAGAAGCAATTGACTAAAAATTTGGCCGCCAGCTTCCTTCCCACCCCCATAACTCCGCCCACCCTCTGCACAGTCACAGCCAATCCACTCACACTGCGACACCCGCCGGGCACTACTTTCATTCAGACGCCCATCCTCGGCCCTGCCCTCTTTAGGCCAGCGCCCGGACCTCTGAGAGCAACACACACTCCCATCATATTTTCCCCTTATTGATCACCTCGAAACAAAGCAAACACGCTCTTACAACAAGGGCGTACATTCACGTGATTTAGTCTTACGATCCGTTCTCAGTACTGACGGTCTCTGTGCAAACTTCGTCCGTGCTCCCGCTCTCCGAGCTGTATACACTTAAGTATATAAACACAAACACACACTCCCATAGTGTTCCCTGTCCTCCTCAAAAACTGTGACTCTGAGAGAGTCACTCTTGAACTATGCAGCAAAGGGAGAGAGAGTGTGTGAGAGAGAGAGCAAGACCATATATGGGAATATGGGAGGGGCCTCATTGATAACACCAGCCCACTATGCAGATGAACGCTTTAATGACAGGACAAGACTGATAAAGGAGTGAAAGAGCTATAAGAAGGATATTTAGTTTTGCTTTATGAGATATTTATCATTATACAGATATTAATCAGGTTATTATTCTATAATTTATTAGAGGAAAGCCAATTTTAGAGACCTATAACTGCGTTAGCTGTTTGTTTAGTGAGGAAATGCAAACATCCCTTTACTTGATGCTTTTTTTTAAGTATTTTAAATTGTTATTAGTCTGTTTTCTTGTCGTTCCACATGGATATATTGCCGTTGGTCTGTGTATTCGCACACATTTTGAGTAACCTCATCTGACCGGCTTTTGTTATAAACACAAAGCTCATTGGTCTGTCAGTTTACAGATGCTAAGGCTTTCTGTCATGGGTAATCACAGAATAACACAGAGTACCAGTCTAATATACGAACGTGACAATTTGGTAGCAAGGCAACACACACACACACACACACACACTCGTCTGTCAGTTTACAGATGCAAAGGCTTTCTGTCATGGGTAATCACAGAATAACACAGAGTGCCAGTCTAATATACGAAGGTGACAATTTGGTAGCAAGGCATCACACACACACACACACACTCGCTCCCAATCAGTGTCGTAATTTTCTCAGTGTTGATGCATAGATTAGATGATTTGAGATTGCAGATGCACACACACACACAACCTCAGATGAGATGATTGCGGTTCAGTCACAGTTTGACGTGGCCTTTTATCTCCGCATATTTTGCTCTCAGTATTTCCTCATTACGGCCTCACAAAGGTCAGTGTGCCTGTCAAAAATCTGTCCGCATCCTATCTTGATTAAGATCTAAAACCTCACCATGTTATTTGCGCGCGCGTGTGTGTGTGTGTGTGTGTGTGTGTGTGTGTGTGTTTAATCCAAAACCTGTCATGAGTTCATTACTCTTGATCTTATTCAGAATAACATTTTAGATTCTGGAAGCATCATTGATTTATTTGCACAGAGGAGCCATTGCCAAAACATAATGACCATAATGGCGGTGACTGAAAATACATCAGTACTGTTGAAAGGAGGATGTAGGTGTATTTTTTAATTTTACACTTGAATAGCAACGTGTTAAATTTCAGATATATTAAACTCTCCTGCTACAAGTATATACAAATGTTCCTGTCAGTCTGAACAAAGTCACGTCGCTTTGCCCCAGATGGTTTTAGATGGACTAAGACTGATCTTCTGTCTTCAGACATGTAGAATTGAATTAGACATTACTGTTGAGTCTATGTTTTTTGATTGGAACCATTTTTTCATCAGATTTTTTTTTAAACGCGCCCTAGCATACAGAGCTTTTTGTAAATATTTTATGAATACAGCTTTTAAAAGTGAATCATTAACATTTACAATATATACAATTAGAGTAAATATGTAGAATTTTATGAGATGTGTAATGTAGATTCTTTATCTGGTTATTGTAATTAATGTGATAATAAGAATGAGCTCTACTTGAAGTTATTACTTTTTGTCACAATTTCTGCAGAGACATGCATACTGAAATAAGGAGATAATCTAATGTGAAGTAGATAAGATTATGTAGTTTTTACATCAAATTGTAAATCAAAGCGCTTGTGAGAGAACGAAGGCGATGGAATATAAGAAATATTGCTAAAAACGGGCTGAGACTTGGACACCTAGACAAGGCCGCAGAGCCAGGAGTCATGGGTGAGTCTCAAGCCCACTCAGGGCTCTTGATTTTCAGAGGACGGTTTGCCCTTGAGGGAATGAAGCCTGGGGCCTTGAACAGAGCTAACTAACAACAGCCATATTGACACTTCAAGAGGCACAACATGGACAAATTCTGCATTTTTTTCTGAGGACACTTTAGAACAAGGACTTTGCTTGGACATGAATCAAATCTCTTATTTTTGTGTGCGTGTGTGTTTTGATAACTCCCAAATGTCAAACTCTTCCCCATAAGTTCCAAGAAAGGACAAATGGTGAATGAGAAATAACACTGGTCCATCAGTGGGATACCTTCATGCTTTCTTGAGGCACAAGAAGACGTAACCACACCATTCCTAGTTGTGTTGTCCTCATGAGGTCCATACAGCAGATATGGCTGGTTATGATACATATGACTGTGACGGTCTCTGGTAGGTGGCTGATTTCACATGTTGTCCAAAAGTAACAGTTTCAAAATATCTTTAAGGTTGTTTGTTGGGATTTTATGTTGCTTTTTTAGTTAAATTCAATCTTTAAGCAATAATGACGGAAACTGGAACCTTTTTAAGAAAACGAAAAATTGCTCTGTTTCTTTCTCTCTCTACCTTTTGTGTACATGTTTCTTCCCTCGTTCTCTTAATGTTGTGAGTGCTCAATAGTGTGCACAGTGTTCCTATCGCCAATATGGAGGAAATTAGCTTAATATGGCATTTCTCTCCCTTTATTTTACACCGATGGAATCTGTTTGTCACAGGGCAGTCATGAAAATGTACATTGCCAGCAGTGACCAGACAGTGGATGGCATTTCTAATTTTTTCCATGTTGGTTCTGGGCTAATATGACTTCGATTCACACTCCCTTTTACTTCCTGCTGTAGTTTGCCTGCCTTGTGCCAAAATATAAATTCCTAAATGCCAAATTTAAGATTTTTTTTTTCAATAATCCAATAGACTGCACATACAACCTATGAGAGTGAAACTCTCATATGATCAGAAAGCACAAAAAAATCAGTTTCTCCCGTGAATGTTTAAAAATCATGAAGCCTCATGTGAAAATGTGCATGTGTGCGTGTAAACTGACAAATATGTGAATTGTGTCCAGTGTTTCTGGAAGATGAAGATTTCAATAACGCTTAAAAGGGACATGGCCAGTATTAAGTAATTTAAATAACGACAGACATATATGTTATTTGTTCTTTGTGCTCAATACATTTCTGTCTGTGACTGATCTGAACTGTCTGCTGACACAAAGGAAAACGTATTTTCATAGGATTTTGCGTCTTGGTTTTCTGACTCATTTGCTCTTTCTCTGTACAGGGTATGGATGAATGCGTGAAAACGAAATAAAGGAGAGAGAGAGAGAAATAAATCGATTAGACTTCCACCCCAGTGCTCCGGCTGTTCTCTTGGGGGCTTATGGGACTCGTGGTTATTGACCAGAGGATGACAGCTTGTCGTGGCGTCTTGCTTTATAATGACAAACGTGTCGAAACTTCCCAGTTCGATGTAAACCCGGCACAACCAGCCAAAAAAGTTTATCAACTGTCTGGTATCCACGATGATACACACAAGCACATTTTTTTTCATTCCAATCGTTCACCTCAACAAGTGTGCGCCACCTTGTGTTTACGACGAGAACGGCAAGAATATGAAAGGAGACTGACAGATTTTCACAGGTTTTACAAACTGGTGTCGTTTTAACCTTTACATTCATTAAACATTTTAATTTAGAAAATTTTGGTAGTGATAGTATATGTCCATTGTTATTAGTTACAAATCGGCATGGACTCTGAGATTCAGATTTTTACAGACGTGTAAAAACATGTAAACACACACACACACACACACACACACACACACACACACATATATATATATATATATATAAAAGCAATTACTACTAATAAAAATGAAAATGTTCGCCTTCTAGTAATTAAATTAATTTGTCACCACCAAAGTGTTTTACCACTTAATTAGATATTATCGAGCTACAAAATGCCTTCTACTTAGCGATCGTGTTCAGGTGCACCAGTGAACGTTTTGAGAACTTCGGCAAAGTTATCTGGTCTTTAATAACGTTCTCAAATCGTTAGAACAAAAACGTTATTTTTAATTATTTTAAATGTTCCTATTTGATTAAGAATGTTCAGGAAACATTTAAAAGTTTGCAAAATACTCAAATCGAATGTCCCCTTAACATTTGCATAACCAAGAAAAAACAAGTAGGTCTAATGTTTCATAACTTAATAGAAATGTTAGCTAAAGTTCTCTATTTTGTTAACTGGGACTGTGCGTTTTTTGCATCATGCTGTGATTTACAAAATACACCAATTCACTCAAAAGTATATTAGTATGCCATTATTGAAAATCAATAAATATTTGTATATTGTACCAACCCCCTCCCCCTTCGCATCTTGCATGTAGGCTTCTTTTTGCTGGGTTTATGGGGTGTCAGCCCATTCTTCAGCTCACTGCATGAAAGCATGCAACTTATGAAGTTCCCAGACCCTAATAGAGAGTGACATTCTTGATACTATATGTTTGCAATGTGTGTCGTGTATTGTGTAACAGTGGGTAAAAAGTAAATTTGCATAATGTGAAGCATTTGATCTGTGATCTGTAAACACTATTGGTGCACACTGATGCAAGCCTCATGAAATGAAGGGTAGCTTAAAGCAAGCATTAACCAGACAGACATTCATTACACACAGAGACACACTCTCTCCCTGGCAGAAGTGGAGAGCCCTCTATTATAAGGTCACTGCAGATCTAGCCATGAACGAAATGAAATATCCACTCCGTACAAAGATAGATAAAGGGCAAATAAAACCAATTCTCCCATTTACTCCCCCTGAAGAGAGATTGAGAGAGACTGCAGATATGTCAGACTCGGGCTCATTCAGTCGGAAGATGGCTGCTGTGCTGTTAAGCAGACAAGCTTTGAACTGTGTACAGATCATGTGCTTAAAATTAAGTCTTTATTGAACATTACCATTATTTCTGACCATTGTGTGAAGCTCTAATTTAGCTTTAGATTAGAAAAGATTATTGAGTGTTAAACAATAGCAGTCAAGCAGCTTTATTAAGATGCTCATACAGTCTTTGTTTTCAGACAAAAATGCTTTATGATGCTTTTAAGCATGTCAAAATGTATTTAAAAGCAATCTCAGCTAAAAAGAAGTAAAATATTCACAAGTCATACATTTTCCCTGTAAAAAGAACAGAAATATATTGTATATGCTCACAACTGAAAGCAAACATTATACAATATGAATGACTACTCACAAAATGCAGTGTCGTCAGGTTAAAAAGCACAGTAGTGAACTCTCACTCACAATCAAACAAACACGTGTACAATTTCACTTGCTAAGGTGTTTTTATGGAATAAATCAGTAAATTTATAGGAATGTGTCTGGTGCAAAATATGAACACCTGAAAATAAGTAAAACATCCATTGCAGTCCACTTAATTAAGACATTCTTCTGTCAAGTTCATGTCATAGAAAAGAGCAGTCATCATGGCACAAACGTCATTAAATACGCCTGAATTGAACAACTCGAATCATCCTAGCTGATTTCACATAAGATGTAACAACTTTTTGCAACGTAGAGGTATATATATATATATATATATATATATCAATCAGTGTAAAAACAGTATTTTGTTTTGTCAGTCAATTGCTTCAAGATAAGCATGAGATAAATATATCACATATATCACAGCAACATATGGATTCTATCCTGTATGTTTATGAATATAAAACTTCATTAATGCAGTAACTTCATACAGTGTGCTAAACTTATAATGGCACTCCAAGTTCAAATGTTTTGAACGATATAAAAATGTCACTATTTAGAGATTTGCCTTACATCTCCCATCTAACATATCTTATCTTTATGTTACTCTGTCAGCTCTGTTGCCATCTTCTCGATCTCTAGCTGTCCAGGGAGCCGCTGCCCTTGTTCTTGTTGCGGCTGAGTGGGAAGGTGGATTTGCTCTGAGGTTGGGTCATTTTGCTGGCCAGATGGACAAAGGGCTCGATGAGCGTTCGTCTGTCGGTCACAGTGACCTCCCACAGCCTGACCTTCTCCTGCCGTGCCCACTGTTGAGCCGCCTCGCTGTCCACCCTCCTCTGATCCTGCAGGTCCAACTTATTACCCACAACAACAATAGTCACCTGTGAGACAGAAAGAGAAATATTCTTTAAATTTTTTTCATGATTATAATGTTAGTAGTTTTTTTTTTTTGTCAAGTTTTATATCAAAATATCAATTAAAATTTGATTCCTCGTGATTTGACACTATAGTTAAAAAATTTGGGGTGGCAAGATTTTTTTATTGTTTTACAAGAACTCTTATGCTCACCAAGGCTATGATTATTTGATTAAAAAAAAAAATATATATATATATATACACACACACAGTAAAACTGTAATATTATGAAATATTAGCAAAAACAACAGTTTTTTTATTTGAATATATTCTAAAACGTAATTTATTCCTGTGATGGCCAAGCTGAATTTTCAGCATCATTACTCCAGTCTTCAGTGTCACATGATCTTCAGAAATCATTCTAATATGATGATTTGCTGCTCAAGAAACATTTGTTCTGCTTTATATTTTTGTACCCAGCTAACAAAAAAAATGTTCAAAGAACGTTTTGCTAATGTTAAGGGAACTTTATATTTTATCACTTTGCAAACATGATGGAAATTGTATTTTTAAATTACCTCTAAATGGTCTGTAACGAATAGCAACATTTACAAAAATCAGATAAGCCGACTTTTATCCACGAACTATGTATAAATAATGTTTTGTGCAATCATTCTATTAATGTTACTGGAAGAACATTTGTTCATAACTGAGAGAATCTTGTCAGAACGTTGCCCGTTAGCTGGGTAGAAAGTGTCATACATTTTTCAGGATTCTTTAATGAATATCTGTACATTTCAAATGAACAGCATTTATTTGAAATAGAAAGCTATTTCAACAACATACGTGTCTTTACTGTCACTTTTGATCAATTCGTCCTTGATGAATAAAAGTATTAATTAAAAAATCTAATCATATGGACCCTCAAACTTTTGAACGGGTGCATAACAAGCACACAGACCTCTTTTTTATCACGGCAGCGGTCGATCTCTTTCTTCAGAGCCTCTACGCGTTTGAAGGACTCTTTGCTGTCGATGCTGTAGACGAGCACGAAGCCGTCGGCGAAAGTGAAGTAGTGCCGCGGAAACTCCTGACCATCACGCAGCCCGCGCGTGTCGTAAAACCGCACCTGTTCTCGGGTGCCGCGGTCCGTTTCCACAGACCCGATGTAAATGTCCTCCAGTGTCTCCATGGTCTCTGAACCTGCCAAACGGGTACTATGTGAATCTACTCTTCAGTTATTTATTTGGGTTTGAGAAATGCCTGCTGTCACAACACTCACCTACAACATGGTTGGCGTAGAGCAGCTGCTCCAGAACAGCAGTTTTCCCCACTGATGCCTGACCACACACCACCACCTTGCAGCTCTTGCCCATGATCTCTTACAAGCGCTCAGTCCTCATTAAAGTACAGAAATAAACTAGAGAAGTAGTAGAACTCTGTCACAACAAGAGAATAGTGAGAATAACTGACGTGTTGTCATAATGTTTTATGCAACGGTCACAAGAGCGCCGCACACACTGGTTTGGATAAACCTGCTGCGCCTTTACATAATCAGATTACTGTATAATTGAATACTAAATTGTATTCATCTTTGATCAATATTAAAATGCATAAAGAAGACGACCAAAGTTAACGTTTAAGGAAAGACTTAACTCACCGTACTCTCTTCCTGTTTATGTCAGATTTCAGCCTTCGACGAAATTTGACACCAGTTCCGTTGAGCTGCAGGGCGCCCTCTTCTGTTCGGAGGACAGCAACATGCCGAACATGCTCAGTGCGGTCTAACCACGTTTCATATTTCTAATAACCAATAAAAATGAACTAATAAGCCAAATTAACTAAGGTGAATATGTCAAAATGATGCGCTACTCATTCAGTCCAGTACATGATATTTCTCTTCGGTGTCAAGATTGGTGATGCATTGACCAAAATGTTCATGAGAATATTTAAACCCCTTAACGGTCATGAAAGCATGAAAGTGCACTATCCAAACTTAAATTGTTGTAATTTATGAACACTTTGGAATACAGACATAAGGTTGGTCTCTTTTTAAAGAAGAAAATCAGCAGATTATTGCAAAAGTATCAAAAAGTTATAGAAGTTTAAATCTACTGTAAAGAAAATGCACTGTACTTATTTTGTTTTATATATAATAAATATTTTACATAACAGGTTTTACTCTAAAATGGTATAAAATTAAAGCCTTATGTCTAAATAAGTTATATTCCAAATTTGAAGTTGATATGAAAAAAACTGAGGTTCCCGTGAGATTTTATTTAGGGCGTTATACCACAAACAGCCACCGGGTGCCATCCAAACTCCATTTAATTTTTTTTTATGCATTTTTCTGTCACAAATGTCTAGATTCCTCTGTCAATATTACTTCTATCTCAAAATAGAAGATTTGACTCAAAAACCACCAAATATGGAATCCTAAGACTCAGACCTTTCCAATGATATGTTTTTTGTCAAGATTATAAAAAGGTTTGATTCTAAAAGCCCGTAATGCATTTTGTAATATGACACTTGACACCGCCCACTAAGGGGGAGGAGACCGCCAAAAGATTTTAAAGTACCGTTTCCATGGTAACGCAATGTCCAATTTCAAAATGGTTTTCACAGGATGAATCTTGGGCTTCTTAGCTTTCAAATGATATATAATTTATGATGATTACTAAAAGATTTGATAGAGAAAAAGAACAACAAAAAAGAGCGCCAAGCGTCCCACAGGTGGGACGGTGACAGTTAAGGGGTTAAGGGCATTTGATACAAAACTTCAAAGAAAACACAAGGAAAAACACATAGGCCTATATAAGCAAAATAAACAAATTAATGAATATAGTAAAAAAAGATAAATACATAGGCCAAAAATAGGCTGATATTATTTAAAACAATTAGCCTAACTACACTAAACAAATTTTTAAAAAGCAGCCTAAATAGGAAGAAAAATAATACATTATAAATATCACTAAAAATGTCTTCTATTGTTTCAGATATCTGATTTGTTATCAATAACACATTATGACGTAGCGTAGCCTACATACAAAGTCATACTTGCAGAGGTTGTGAAGAACCATTGGTTTCACCTTCTCAAGGAATAGGCCTACGCTTCCTTGACTGAATGAAATTTGAATAAAGGATAATAAATCATTTCAATTGTGAATGACTCTGTTTTTACTGAATCGACTGAATGCATGAATGATCTATTTATTCGGCTGACCACCTGTGATCATAAACAGGATTAATATCTCACTTATTACATCAACTGAAATTAAAATAACACTAGCACTAAATTTAGTATATATAAGTGTAAACAATTTAGCTTTTAAAGCAAAAGTTCAACAATGCAATACCTATTAATATCATCTTTGAAGAATAAGAAAGCTGTAAAATGTGTTAAGATGGCCAGTCCATCACAGGTTAATAGGCCAATTTGTAAACATTTATATTATTTTATTTTACTTTTCTTATGTTTATTTCTATCTTTTGAATTATATTTATGCCGTTTATCCTAAAGTACCCCCTGCCTGTATTTTTTAAATCTTTAAAACCAATTTAAAAAATAAATAAATAGTATACTTTACTATGCCACATTCAGAAAATATGGTCATTTGTCGCCACCTACTGGTGTAAACGCAACGTCACCTGCGATCACCGAGCGAATCTTTTAAGTGAACTGTTTCAAAAGACTCGAGTCAGTTACATGAATCAAAATCCCTTCCATACTATTTAAATACATTCTTTAAATGGTTTCACATAATTATAATAGTTACTACTGATGTCCAGAGAGATATGTGTGCAGTCTCTATTGTTTGAAAACAATGTGAAGAGCGTAAGGCCAGTTTTTGAAAAACTAGGAGCCGTTAATTTTAACTAACTAGACAAAATGCTTTGTGTTAAATTTTAGTGCACTTTTATTTCTGAAAATTGTTTCTACACACACTAATATGTTATAGTAGGTTCTCGTATCCGTTGACCTACTATGGGCATATTGCGCACGGCTGCGGAAGGCGGAGCTGAAGGCGGTATGAAAGGCTCGCATGCCTCGTCTCGTCCTCCGCCTCTGGACAGCAAAATGGCGACTGTTGACTACGACTCGTCTGCGGATCCAGAGATGGACTTAACCAGCGACGAGGAGTTAGAGAGGTACCCGAAAAGAGCGATCACTTTAATCTGATGCCGGGCGATCTGTTCGTGAGGTTGCTGGGTTTTTAGAGAAGCCTTGATCAGGCTCACGGTTGTATAAAGACCCTGAGATCGTGATTGCCGCATAACTTGAAAATCAAGGGGTGTCTTTGGCCTAGCATGCCAGGCAGCTGCGTTTAGTGTTGGGGTGCCTTGCGATTAACCTGGTGTTGTTTTTAACACCTTTTAAGTGAGCTTTGCCCTTTTTAAGCGATGATCAAGGGTGCCGCGCATCGTGTTATTACAACAGATGTGCTGTTCGCCGTGACACAGTTTTAGGGTGAGAATTAGGTTGAAGGCAGCGTCACATCATTGCTCTCAACAACACAATGCAGACGCACTTAAACCCGCACACATCCAGTTAATCATCGCATTGTTGTATTAAATATTTGAAACATTAATAGTCGTTGATTGATACCCTTAGTAGGTAACTACAATGCATAAAAGAAAGAAAAAAACGCACATGGGTATAGAGGAAATGACGTTTTGTCCCTGCGGGTCTCCTATATTTGCAGGCCACTACTTTTGACACTTGCTTGGACATTTTGTCCAATTTAGCAGCACGAACATATTTCGCAGCTTTTTAACATGCATCTCTTAAAGGGACAGTTCCCCATAAAATATGTACATTCTGACATCGTTTAACCCCTTGGATTGCTGATTTAGGTCACGTTAAAGAGGATGACAACCATTTTTTTTTTATGTAAAAAGGACATTTAAAGAAAGTGAATGTTGAATGAGGCTGTCAGTCACTAACATCTGAGGCTGCCTGACATCTACTTCGATGACCGAATTTTAATTTTTGATGTAACGTTACTGTCCCTTTTAATGCATATGACGTTTCGATTGTTTATTTAGTGTTTAGGTGTCATTAATGTCAAGAGATGAATTTGAACCCCGAAGTATTATGTATGTATGTATGAGGACTAGCAACCTATAAGAAGTCGTTCATTTCTGGAACTTTCTGTTTGTCTGACGTTTCTCTGGGCGGACGGAGGCATGACGTGAACTTGGAACGTTGACTTGGAACGATCGGTTACCGAACTGTAACTGGACGCGCGAGAAGTGCAGTTAACCTCGGGTCTGACATAACTTTCCTCATGTTAAGTGTAGTTAGAGTATTATCTGTCAGAGTCGCACACTGCTGCGATGTTACAGTATAAACTTTATGTTCCTGGTGAACTTTAAGTACTTGACTTGAGATTTCTACTATAACTTGTCTGCTGTTGTTTTAATAGTTTTAGTTACGGTTTCCCATGTACTCTAATGTAAGTTGAAGGAATTCATTTTTAACAATATCTTACAAACTTCTAAAGACCTGCTGTGAGCTATGAGGATGTTAATCGATGGTGTATGCTTTTGTTGAAGCCATCAGCCTGCATTATTTAAATTTATTTTTTTAAAGAGCAGGTCATATGGTATTTTAAAGTGTCCTAATATTGTGTTGGAGTCCCCTACAACAGGTTTAAATGCATCTAAGGTCAGAAAACATTGTAATTTTCTCAGAATATACATTTAATATTAGAGTCATTTGTCAATGATTTCGAAACGATTCGTTCCAAGCAAGTTCAGAGCAAACCCCTCCCTTCCATAAGCCTACTCTGCTCTGATTGGTCAGCTGGCCAAGCCTGTTGTGATTGGCACAGAGAGAAGTCCTTGAGCAAGTTTGCGAGCTCTACCATTGACAAAGCACCTTTGCATAAAACAATAATACAGTGCTCCAATCAGTTCTTATAATAATGACATAAAATACAAAAACACTTATGCAAGCGAATGCCCACAGCTAAAGTTTAGCTGCTAAACTGTGAACACTTAACAATAATGGTGGATACGTTAGCCGAGTGCTAACGTGACTAACTGATAAAACAATACAGTTTGTAAAGTACATAAATAATGTTCAATATAATGTAATAATCAAGTTTTTTATGTTGTTTATTTGTCTGTGTTGTTTTTAATATGCTTTTAGACAAACCATGTGCCAATCCATTTATCAACACCATTGCTGAGTATTTTCTCCTTAAAACTAGTTTCCCAAAGGCAGTCACAGAAACGCGGTTTGAAACAGCCTTTGTTTTGCTACGTCACAAAACTCAATAACCAATCGCGTCAAGGGATCCTATCCTTAGCATATCATTAACTGTTCTGCAAAGCAGAGGGTCTAGTGAGAAGGCAGCCAGGTTAATCCGGTAACAGTTTTTTTTTTTCTGTAGATGTATCGCCTGACATCCGCACGTCACACGTGTATGATCACGGGCGCGATTTGGAATCACAAACTTGGCTGCATTTGAGTCTTCAAGGCATTTTGAGGACACAACATCATCTAAGTAAATTTAACGAATGTTACAGTTTCCACTGTAGTTGTCCGCTAGTAAAAACAGTTTTATCAGTCATTATCCGTGTACGAACCAGCGCAAACAGATAATGTTACCTCACGAAGTTAGCCATCAGTCTCCTTGCTTACATTGAGCATACCAGCTTATTTCTGGTTCAAACACATATGGCTTAATTAAACCAATATTTCCACTTGCCATTGCCATTGTATCGCGTTTAC